CCCCAGCGGGGCGGGCGCCTTGGCTAGCCTGGAGGGTCTTCCCGGGTGCCCCCCTGGGCTCTGCCCCTCCCTTCCTGGGGATCCCTGGCAGCCCCTGTCCCTCCCAGGGCCCCACTTCTCAGGGTCCCTCAATAGGTGGGCACTTGCAGGTGGGCCTGGCTCGGGAAAGGGCACCCAGTGCGAGAAGATCGTGCAGAAGTATGGCTACACCCACCTCTCCACCGGGGACCTGCTGCGCGCCGAGGTCAGCTCTGGCTCAGCCAGGGGCAAGAAGCTGTCGGAGATCATGGAGAAGGGCCAGCTGGTGCCACTGGTGAGTGGGCCCCAGAGGACAGCGGTGGGCGACAGTGGCCCTGAGCAGGCACTAGCCCGAACAGCCCAGACACAGTGGCGAGACTGCCCACAGCCCTCCGTGGCCCCAGACCCCACCTGGCTGCCCATTGCCCTTGGCAGGAAGTTCCTCCCAGAAGCCGCCAAGACCCTGCAGGACTGCCTGCTGCTGTCTCTGTCCCACTGTCCATCCTCCAGCCACCCTGGCCGTTCTGTCCCCTCCGAGTGGCTGTACCCCATCTTGCCTAGAATGCTCTTTCCTCCTCAGCTTACAGAACTTCCTGACTCCCCAGATTTGGGCTGAGACCCCCCCAATTTTGTACCCTAATAACCACCCTCCTATGCCTGTACAGCTTGTGTCACGCTTGGAAACTGGTAAACCACTCTGATTGTCCCCGCAGCAGACCATGAGCTTAGGGGCAGGGAAGGCCTTATGCAGCCACTGCTTTGTCTACAGGGCCAGGACAGAACCTGGCTGGGAGGAGGGCCTCAGCCTCTTCCAGCTCAGAGGAGGCGTCCTGGAGGCAGAGGCTGGTTTGGGACATTTGAGATAGAGGGGACAATATTTCAGGCGGTGGAGCCAGCACCGGCAAAGGGCCAGAGAAGGGGTGGGGAGAGAGGCTCACAGCCCTTCCTCTCTGCGTCCCCAGGAGACAGTACTGGACATGCTCCGTGACGCCATGGTGGCCAAAGTAGATACTTCCAAAGGCTTCCTGATCGACGGTTATCCACGGGAGGTGCAGCAGGGAGAAGAGTTCGAGCGGCGGGTAAGACATACACCAGACAGACGGCCTTGGGCGCTGTGAGGCCAGGCAGGGTTCTAGGCACAGGTGAGGAAGGAAACCAGGAAGGCTTTCTGGAAGTCTTTCTAGACGTCTAGAAGGAAAGGAATGGGAGACGAGGAACCGCCAGGCTGGGGAGTTCCCAGACCTGGGCTCAGGTGCCAGCTCGATCCGTGAGACCTTGGGCCAGCCATTCTGCCTCTCTGAACCTCAGTTTCCCCAGCTGCAAAACAGGAGGACAGATGGGTCACAGCTGCCCGGAGGGGACTGGGGAGGCTGGGCCCAGCAGTGTTGCCCTCAGCACCCCTAAACCTGTAGCCACAGGGCAGGGAACAGCATTGGAGGGCTGTAGGGGTGAGGCCACCATGAGGAGAACAGGACAGGCTGATGTGGGAGAGGGGTTTCAGGCCTGCCAGGAGTGCCGGGGAAGGAAATCCCGTCTCCTTCAGGGCCCGTGGAGAGTCTGGTTGGAAAGAGCCGGCCTTGACAGTGATGGCTCTGCCCTTCCTGGGATGGGCGCCCACCAGAACACCTTCCACAGCTGGATGCCTCACAAGCACACACATGTTCACATGCATTGCACGAACACACATGTACAAGAGTACTCGCACACATACACCGGCACATATACATGTGTGCATGGCACACAGTGCATGTGCCCCCAGGCCACAGGTCTGTGCCTGATGTGCACACATGCACACATGGCCATGGGTCCATATATAAGCATGCTCACAAGGTCACAGGACAAAACGGAAGGGGCTGGAGGAGCTGAGGAGGGCATGGCCAGTTGGGGGCGCTAACTGGGCATCCCAGGCCCCGGCCTCGACTCCCCACCTCTAGGGGCCATCTTGGGCCTCCCATGGCTTTAAGCCTCCTCCAGAGTAGGAGATGGTACTTCTAGGCCTTTATGTAGCTGCAAGAACCCAAGAAAGTGTCTTCCCTGCCCTGGACCTCAGTTTCCCTATACGCGAATAGGGGTTGACTGGTTTCCTTCCGATCCTGGAGCCTGTGGTCATCCTGTCCTGGCCCACACACCCCAACTGTGTGATGTCCCCTGCCACCCTCAGGGCCACATCTAGAAAATGGGTTAATGAAAGTCCTGGTCCTTTGCGGGGCTGTTGCAGGCACTGCTGAGGGCAGTGGTTCAGCTCCGGGCCCAGCCCCGGCAGCCCCTACGTGTCCAGGCAGCTGGTCTTCTAGGCTGTGGACACCAGGGGGCACCAGAACGTCACTGAAGGAGGAAGGGTTCACCTGGAAACATGGCAGCAGGCTGGTTAACAAGCCCAGCACTCTCTGGGTGTGGGCATGTCCAGCGCCAGGCTAAGTGCCCATTGTCCTGCCTGGGAAACTGAGGCCCCACAGCCAGAATCTCAGTCTGGGCTTCCTGGCCCAGAGGCCCAGCTGACCAGCGTAGATGTATCATCCCCACCTGGGGTGTATAAAGAACCTGCTGGGGGGAACCAGCAGTTAGTGTAATGGCTATGTCGCTGGACTCCCACATAGTCGACCGCGGTTCGTGTCCTGGACCTGGTGGCTTAAAACACGCTGGGCGCGTGTGCGTGTGTGCTCAAGATCCTGAGAGGAGAATGGAGGAGAAGGGATTGCGGTGTGACCATCTTCCCTGGGGGGGTGATTTCTCGTTTTCTGTCTCTATGTCTCGCTGTCTCTGTCTGTCTGGTGAGCGCTCGCACCCTGTAGCAAAAACCTCTCCAAAAAAAAGAACAACAAAAAAAAGAACCTGCTGGGCCTGGCCCAGGACCCTCTTGAACCAGAGTGTGAGGGCATGCCCTGGAGGAGCTCAGCTGATGGGTGACAGGAAGGCAGTGGCCTTGGGGCAAAGTCCAACTGCTGGTTTTGGGGCTGGCCTTTGCCTTGATGGTCATCTGTAAGATAGGAGCTCCTGGTAACATGTCTGTGGTCATCACAGGTCAGGGCTCCCCTCCCTGAAGGCAGCTGACACTGTCACCCCGAATTCCTAACCACCCAGGGATGTTAGGATGGGTCTTACAGCTATGGAAACCGAGGCTCAGCAAGCGCAAGTGAGTTGCCCAAGGTCACACGGCTGGCCGGAGGCAGAGTGAGCCTGGCCGAGTCCAGGTCTGCTGGCGACCAGGCTTCTCCTGTCCTTGTCCACTCCCTGCCTAGAGGCAGCGCCCATGGGTCTCAGTGTGAGTTCTGGGGTGACAGCTGTGGGAAGACTCTCAGAGACTGACCAGGCAACCAGGAAGTACAGGGAGGGCTTTGAAGACATTCCCCCCCACCCCCACCCCGCTCTTTTTTTTCAGTTTTGCCATAGGGCATATATGCTACTAGAGAAAGAGAGAGAGAGAGGGAGTGAGAAATCACCCTGCAGGGGAGGGCCATACTGCAATCCCTTCTTCATTCTCCTCTTGGGGTTTGGGTGTGCACACACACATGCCCTGAGTACCTCTCTAGCCGCCAGGTCCAGGGTTCAAACCGCACAGTCGGCTATGTGGGGTCCAGCTGTCTTAACCACCATGCCACCTGTTGGCCCCTCTCTCCCTCTTAACAGCCCCACTGTCCCTCTTCCCTGGTTCTGCAGGAGTCCCGGGGCCCTCCCTCACAGAGCACGCCCACCCGGCTGATGTCCCAGGCCTGGAGACTCTGCCTCGGGGGCCTCACAGTCAGGCAAAGGACTGCCACCTCTAGCCTCAGTGTGGGGCCAGCCTGAGCAGCCCTTCTAAACTGTCCCCACCAGGCAATGACAATGCCCTGCTCAGATACCCTCATCCCCTCATCCCTGGTCCTTGATGAAGTCCTACCCAGCCCTGAAGGCATAAAGAATACCTCCCTGCCCTCAGGAGCTCCCTACTGGGAGGACATTAAATAAATAACCAGAGGTCCTGGGAGGCATTTGTGAGGGAGAAATAAAGGGGCCCGCCCTGTCTCTGGGGGCAGCACGGTGGGGGGTGTCAGAAACCTGGCACTGAGGCACAGGTGGGTCGAGATCCGGGCTAAGAGGAAGGGCTCAGGGGGGACCGTGAGAGCGGGAGCAGGAAGTCAGCGTGGCTGCAGGCGGGGAAGGCAGGCCAGCAGGGAGCCCTCCAAGCTGGGAACGGTTGGGGCTTCTCCTGAGGGGCCGGAGCCACAGGGAAGACGGGTTTTAGGAAGGTCCTTGAAGCTGCCTGGGGAAGGGCTGGAAGCTCTGTGTGAATCCCAAGGGGCACCTTGGAGGTGTGAAACAGGGGAGGGGTCCCGTGACATGGCACCCCGCCCGCAGATTGGACAGCCCACGCTGCTGCTGTACGTGGACGCAGGCCCCGAGACCATGACCCAGCGGCTGCTGAAGCGTGGCGAGACTAGCGGGCGCGTGGACGACAACGAGGAGACCATCAAGAAGCGGCTGGAGACCTACTACAAGGCCACAGAGCCTGTCATCGCCTTCTACGAGAAACGGGGCATCGTCCGCAAGGTGCGCCTCCCACGGCCCGGCCCCAGCAAGCCTGGGCTGCTGCCCGGCGGGCCTCGCTTTCCCCACTCATTCGGTGGGAGGCTGCCGTTGTCTGGCGTGGCCTCTGGGGGCGGTCAGCCCCCTGCCTCAGTGGGTTCCAACAGCTGGCCCGGCACCCCCGCCCTCACGGCCAGTCTCCCCACAGGTCAATGCCGAAGGCTCCGTGGACAGTGTCTTCTCCCAGGTCTGCACCCTCCTGGACACCCTGAAGTAGCAGCCCCGGAGCCCCTTCCCCAGCTCCCAGCCCTGCCTGTCTCGACGCGAGGCCGCCCTGGCTGGAGCCCAGCGCCTCCACCCTGCCCGCTGAGCACAGACAGAGGAAGCCACTTTATCCTGTTTTCATGGACAGCCGAGCACTAAAGGAATTTCCAAGGACATTCGGTTTCACTCCTTGTTCTTTGCTTGCAGTCGGAGTTCATCCGCGGAATTATGACCACCCGGCCCAAGGTCCCAGCCCCTCGCCTCCCATCCCTCCAGGGCCCCTCAGCCCACTCTGGTGGGAGGTCCAGGCTGGTCCTCAGGGTGTGCCTGGTCCAGACCATGGCCATCCTGGGGACCCAGCAGGAACCGTGAAGCTGGGGCCTTGCTCTTAATAGAGCTGGAGGTCCTGGGCCTACTGCGTCCTCGCCGTGTGGCCTTGGACCTGACCCTCAGCTCCCAACTCCACTGGGCCCCCTCCACTGGGCCCCACTCCCAGCCCCTGGGTGGGGCCTGCTCTGGGCACAGCACATACCAGCTAGCCCAGTGGGCAGCGAACTGGTCTCCTTGGTGCAAGGAGCTCTGAGGGTCTGAAAGGGCATTGCAGTGGAATACGGGGTGTCAGTGCCGAGCAGGCTCGTGATGTCCTGGGGACACCGAGTCCCCTGGACAGAGTTTCCTTCTTCTGTTCTCCCTCACCTCTGACCTCACGTAGAAGGCTCCCCGGGGTGCTCAGACCTGTGCCCTTCACGCTTGTCCCCGCCCCAGCTAGGCTCCCTGGGGAGCCAAGTGAGCGTCCGTGCCCCTCCTGCCAGGTGGAGCCCTGCCACAGGGCTGACGAGCCCCTTGTCGGCTCCTGTGGCCGTGGGGCTAGTTTTCCACGTCCATCGGCCATTTCATGTTTCCCTTAAAATAAACTTTCTTAAGCTATGAAAGGTGGTCTCCCGAAAGAAACATGTGGCATAAATGACACAGAGGGGCCTTACAGCTGTCTTCTGTCCCCCACATCAGCCCGAGGCATGGAGGCAGCAGCAAGCTCAGCCACAAGTCACTCTGGAACTCCCACCTCTGGGTGTCACCTCTATCAAACTGGGGTGACACACACACGTGTCCGCACGCACCCCTTCTCTGAGGTCAGCATGATGATGAGTGAAGAGTGCCCCATGGCCGAGAGTGAGCTAGGGAAATCCACTCGACAGGTTAGGCCATTATTTTTTTTTTTAAATTTTTTAGAGTTTTTTTGCTATAGGGTGTGTGCGATCCCTGAAGAGACAGAGATAGAAAGTGAGAGATCACACCCTGGGGGGATGGTCACACCACTGTCCCTTTTCCAGTCTCCTCTTGGGATTTTGGCCATGCATGCAAGGCGCCTGCCGCGAGTTTTAAGCTGCTGAGTCTGGGACTCGAACCAGAGTCCACTACCTGGGAGTCCAACAATGTAACCATTACACCATCTGCTGGTCCCGAGTGCGTATTCTTTTTAATCACCAGAGGGCACAGCCGCTGGCCAGAGAGAGAAGGAGAAAGCACCGCCCATGGGGCGGGGTCAGGCCGCCATGCCCCTCCATCTCCATCCTGTCTGGGTCTGGGGTGCGCATGCACATGTGACCATTGTCTGTCAAGCCTCGAGGCTGTGATTCGACCACTGTGGGTCACATGGGCTCTGGCTCCCTAGCCACTAGGCTATAGGGTTAGCCCAGCCTCACCTTTTTTTTTTAGCCACTAGGCTATAGGGTTAGCCCAGCCTCACCTTTTTTTTTTCTTTTTTCTGATAGCTTTAGCAATTCTTTTCTTTTTTTAAATAAAATTATTTTATTTAACTTTATTTATTCATTCATTTATTTATTTCAATTTGACCAGAGAGGGATAGAGAGAGAAAGTGAGAGAGCAAGCTGCCACGTCCAGGACTTGAACCATAGTCAGTCACATGGGAGTCCAGCACCCTTAACCACCAAGCCACCTGCCAGCCCCAGCTTTAGCAATTCTGGTAAGTCCCAGTTTATGAAAACTTAAACTGAACCTAATGATCAACGTCACCACCGAATCACGTTATTACAAATACTACATGGCTGTTCTGTGTCCTGGTGATTAAGGCAGCCAGATCCCACATGGCCAGGTTCAGGCGCGGGCTCCTTCCACCTGCCAGGCTTGTCTCTTGGAACCCCCTGGAGCCCTGCCCACATCCAGAGGGTCCTCTCCACCCTGCAGCTCTGCAGAGCTCTTCTCTCTGCCCTGCCATGCCCTCTGCTCACAGTGAGCGCCTAGGCTGAGAAACACTGCACGTGGGAGCAAGTGCTCTAGTCCCGAGGGGAGGGAGAGGTGGGGGGGGAGTGTGGTGTGACCATTCTCGCGGGAGTGCTTTCTCCTTCCGTCTCGGTCTCTCTCTGGTGAGTAAGGGCACGCACCTCTGCCTGTCCATCTGCCTGTATCCCACTCATCTCCCTGCCTTCCTCGCTACTTCCTACATCAAGGTCTCCATCTCCTCTTTGCTGAAATTTGAAAACACAGAGTTCTGGGACCAGCAGTTGGCGCAATGGCTATATCGCTGAACTCCATGTAGTCGACCGCAGTTTGAGTCCCAGACCTAGTGGCTTAAACTCACACCAGGCATGTGTGTGTGTGCGTGGGTGTGTGCGGGCGCGCCCAAGATCCCGAGAGGAGAATGGTGGAGAAGGGAGTGCAGCGAGGCCATCGCCCCTGGGGGGTGATTTCTCGCTTTCTGTCTCTCTGTCTGTCTCTGTCTTTCTGGCAAGTGCATGTGCCCTATAGCAAAAACCTCTCCAAAAAAAAAAAAAGGAAAACATGAAGAGTTCAAAGTCTCCAGTGACTGCCATCCAGTCTTTGCCCTCGTGAGCCTCTGAGCATCTCTCCCGTGCAGGTCTGTCCTTCTGTTCTAGAGCACCTACCGTGTTGGCCAGACCGAGGCTTGCGAGGCCCTGACTGGTAGCGGTGTGTTCCCAGCACGAAGCAGACACCCATGCTCAGCAAATCCTGTGCAACCTCACCAAGACCGCCCCGGGCAGCCGAGGGCACAGAGCACAGGAGACTCACAGAGGGAGTCTCCTCAGGCCAGAGCTCCACAGCAAGGCCTTGGAGATACCTAGCTCGCTGTGAGCAGAGGGTGTGGAAGGGCAGAGAGACGAGCTCCACAGGGCTGCAGAGGAGGAGAGAACCCGCGGGTGTGGGCAGGGCTCCAGGGGCTTCCAAGAGACAAGCTGGTGGGTGGTAGGAGCCCGACTGTGGCCTGGAATGCCAACCCAAGCATCTGGTTTTTCTTCTAAGGGCAAAGGTAAACTCAGGAAGAGATGACATTTGCGTGCATATTTCTGGGGCTTTGTAGTTTTTTGTTTTCTGGGGTTCTTTGTTTGTTTGTTTGTTTCTGTAGGTCATGTTCACTCACTGGAGAGAGACATACTGACAAAGAAAGGGAGAGAGAGAAAAAAATCACCCCTGAGGACAAATGGCCATACTACATTCCCTTCCCTTCCATTTTTCTCTCAGGATTTGGGGGTACGCACACACACACAGATGTGATTCCTAAGCCACCAGATCTGGGACTCAAACCATGGGGTCGGCCATGTGGAATCTAGTGCCTTAACCACCACGCCACCTGCTAGCCCCCTTATTTTATTGGTAAGTTTATTTCTTCCATGAGTTAGCAAGAGGGTGAGACAAAGGAGGCATACCCTGACAGGGCCTTGACACCGCCTTCGCCCCGGCCCTGCCCCGGCCTCGGCTAGCTCTGGGTCGTGGGTGTGTGTGCTTGGCATACTCAGGTCTCCAGAGGACAGCCTGGAGCCTTCCACGTGGGTTAGCCTCGCAGGGTGTCACCTTTTATTGTGGCACTGCCTGGCCACTGCGGTTTTATCAGTAAAAAATTTCAAAACAAAGCTGATTCTTGACACCGCCTTCGCCCCGGCCCTGCCCCGGCCTCGGCTAGCTCTGGGTCGTGGGTGTGTGTGCTTGGCATACTCAGGTCTCCAGAGGACAGCCTGGAGCCTTCCACGTGGGTTAGCCTCGCAGGGTGTCACCTTTTATTGTGGCACTGCCTGGCCACTGCGGTTTTATCAGTAAAAAATTTCAAAACAAAGCTGATTTTGGAAGATCACAGAGCATGTGTGCTTTCTGGAGAGGAGAGAGAAGAAAAGTGAGAACTCACCCCCAGGGGGAATGGCCACGGCATGCACTCACACGTGCCCAGCGTGATTTTCAAACTACTGAGTCCGGGACTCAAACCATCGTTGGCCATATGGAAATCCAGCTGCTTTAACCACCATACTATCTGCTGGTCATTTAGCAATTGTTACATTTTTCTAAACTTCTTTCATAATTTAAAGTCGCCAAAGTTTTTTAAAAGTGAACTACGGATATGAAGAAATTTTGCCCCTAAAGTCTGACTATAGTATGACTCCAGAAAACAAGACATTCTCCTAAATGACCACAGCTCAGGATCCCCATGACACTGGCTAACCCCCACCGTTGTCAGAGCTAACACTCAGTCAGTTGACTGTTTTCCCCAGTCTTTCCAAAAACGTGTCCTATGGCTGGTGTGCTGGGATTAGAACGCAATCCAGGATGACACGCTGCACTCGTTTGTGAGAGTCATCAAATCTCTCCCCTCTTTTTGTGTGTCTGTGAAGGGACCGGTTTCCTGAGAAAAAATTCCTCCTTCCAGATTTGTCTGTTGCTTCCTCCTGGCGTTACTCAGCTTGCTCCTCATGCCCTCAGTTTCCTGTAAACTGGAATGCTTCCTAGATTCATGCCAAGCCTCTGGGTAAGAAATCTATTGGTGAGGCTAGTGAAGATTTTTTTTTTTTAAATTTGTCAGAGGGCATGTGCCCTTGCCAGGGAGAGAGACAGAGACAGAGAGGTAAAGCAAGAAAACACCTCCCACCCTCCATGGGGCACAGTTATGCCACAATCCTTTCACCTCCATCTCTCCCTTCTTTCAGAATTTTGAGTGTGCCAGGCGTATTTTTTAAGCTGCGAGGCCCGGGACTTGAACTGAGGTCAGCCGTGTGGGAGTCCAGTGCCTTAATCACCATGCTACCTGCTGTCCCCCCCATGAAGGGTTTTTAAACAGACAGGAAGGTCCGATCTGCAGCGGTTCCATCTTTAACCTGAACACGAACATTGCAGGGGTTTTGTTTAAAACGATGCTGACTCGGCAGGGCTGG